GCAAAGGCCTTAGATGAAAAAAGCCAGATGTGTTCAAGAAACCAGCATGGCTGAAGCCATGAGCAAAGAGTGAGGCCAGAAGCATGCTTGGTGCATGGATGAAGTTGGATCTTGTGGAGCCTTATTCCCTTGTGTTCCAAATGCAACCCAAAACTGTTGAACAGATTAAAGTGGGAAAATGTGGAATTCATGGATTTAAAATCCTTCACCTTCATCATACAATCAGTGGTCCATACTATGGCCTTCCCTCCAGAACCTGTTTCTCATCTCTTTCCCTCCTTTGACCTGCCCCAGCCCCACTGGACTTTTTATTGATTATTGTGCAAGATATGCTTGCTTATGCCACAGGACTTTTGAACTTGCTTTTCTCTTCACCTAGGATGCTTTTTCCCCTGGGTATGTGTGAAGCTTGCTACTTGGTGTCATAAAGGGTTTTAATCAAGCAGATGAATTGATGACAACTGAGAGTCTGGAATATTAATGAATCTACTTGGATCAAGTCATGGGAAATATTTTGAGGGAAGCTCAAGACAATCAGTAAACTGTAAAGCAACATTTAATAGCCAAATATCCATGTCAGAACATTCAGGTAAGGACCATGTTATCCTTTGTGCACTGGCACATTCAATGCTTGGAGTCTTCTTTGTCCCAAGTCGTGGGGTAGTCAGAACTGGCATCCTGCCACTTTTCACTGTTTGTTGGTTAGTAGGAAAGACTGTGTCATGGCCTTGGAGAAAATCACAGAATCACAGTGAAGTGTGGGTGCAGTTTTCCTAGTCATCAAGAAAGAGAAAATAAAATTCACCTCAAAATCTTAGGATACATGTGGCTAATCTAGAAAATATTTTGTCAGTGGCCGATGAGGGTGTATGAGCCAGATACTAGTTACTATTTATGGACACAGAGAGATGGATTTTGCCACTTTCTCTAACCTCTTTAGCAGCTATGGCTTCATACTGACATCCTTGACTCAATAAAACCCCAATAACTACTCCTTAGTTACTTCAGCAACCAGCTCTCATTTCTACTTTCCCCCTTAAGATTCAAATGCAATTAGCAATGTTTTCTTGTTTGTTTGTTTTTTGCCTAGATACTAAGATCCATATAGGAAAAATGTCACAGTGCTTCAAGTACTCACTGTGGAGCTGGACTGTTCAGGCTGTAAGTCCTTACCTCTCACTACATTTTGATGTAGGTTGGGCATGGTGGTGCACACCTGTAATCCAAGCACTCAGGAGGCTGAGATAGGAGGATTGCCATGAGTTTGAGGCCAGCCTGGGCTACATAGTGAGTTTACGGCCAGCCTGAGCTACATAGCAAGACCCTATTTCAAATAATCAAACCACACCAAAACAAAACAAATACATTTTGACCTCAACAAAGCGAATCTATGCTCTGGGTCTCAGTTTCTCATCCTTAAACTGGAGATGAAAAAGAAGAAGGAGGAAAAGGAGGAATTAGGTGGAGGAGGAGGAGGAGGAGAAGGAGAAGAACAAGGAGAAGAAGAGGAAAAAGATTATTGTTACTGTTTCAAATGTTAGCATGAAGTAGTCAACAGATGCTACAGAAAGTGGAATAATGCCAATGTTCCAACCCCAGCAAATTTGTTTCTCTCTCTCTCTCTCTCTCTCTCTCTCTCTCTCCCCTCCCCACCTTTGGTAATGGGGGGATTGAACTCAGGACCTTGGACTGATGTGGCAGGCTCTCGGTGCCACTGAGCTAAATCTCCGGTCCTGCACCTGTATCTCTTGTACCTGTGAATGTGTTAGGTTCCAAGGTAACAGGGATTTTACAGAGGTAATGAAGTTAAAGAGTCTAAAGTCAGGGAGTCCTGGACTATCTAGGTGGACCCAATGTCATCACAAAGTAGGATGTCATAAGAAGGAATTCAGAAACCACGTGGCAGTGGAAACAGAGATTAAAGTTATATTTGGATGTGGCCATGAGCCAGAGAAAGAATTCAGGCAAACTAGAAGCTGGATCCAGGAAATGGATTTGTCCTTAGAGACTGCGAAAGGAATGCAGCTTTATTGTCACCTTGATCTTAGGCCAGTGAGACTTCTGGTTTTACAGAACAGCAAGAGAATAAATAAGTATGTATTGTTTTAAGTCAGTTCCATACATGTTAATTTGTTACAGCACCTTCAGGAAACAAGTACTTATACAAAGTGCTCCAAATACCGGCATATAAAATGTGCTTAACAAACAGACATTACATTTTTCATTGCCACTGTCAGTCTTTCCGGGAGAGGTTCAGAGAAAAGATTCCAGACCCTTGGCTCCCTCTCAAGTGGCTGTGTGGCTCTGAGCATCACACCTCAGGCTCCCCATTTCCACAGAGTTAAACACATGCGTCGTGGTGGCTTTGACGAAAGATGGGCTGGATAAGACTTCTGGCTCATCTGTATGACCTAGAACATGTTCCAGAATGTGTTGGACTTTAATTTCCTTTTCTTTCTGTGGGTCTACTAAAATCTATCCCATAGGATTGTTTTAGGAATTAAATGATGCAATGTAGGGAGAATTCTTGATATATGGTTGATGCTCAATAAATGATAGTGGTTAACATTTATTGAACTCTTGCTGTATGCAAGTACATTTCTGAACACTTTGTATTTTTATTTACTTATTAACTATTCTTTAAAAACTATTGTGTGCAACACGTAATAGATCCTTTTCTGAGGAACTGGTATATGTATATAACATACAGTATCTCCATCATTTTCGGTCTTCTTACTCATGCTGTCTCACCTCCCTTGTCCCCACTCCAAGATCAGAAAAGTCTGCCTTTTTGCCTTTTTGTAATTCCTTTCATCTCTCATTTTACCTCTTTTTCCCTTTCCCTCTTTCTTTCTTTTCTTTCTTTCTGTCTGTCTTTCTTTCTTTCTTTCTTTCTTTCATTTTAGGTTTCTCATGTAAGAGAAATGATGCGATATCTGACTTTCTGTACCTAAACTTTTTAGTTAACATTATGGTCTCAAGTTATATCTGTTTTCCTGCAAATTACATGATTCTTATGGCTGAATAGCATTACACTGTGTACATCATCTGTTGTGCATCTATGCTGTTTCCAGAGCATTGTGATTGTGAATTGTGCTGCTATAAATATGGGTATGCATGTATCACTGTAGTAAGATGTCTTCAACTCTTTGGGGGAGTATATTCAGGAGAGGTATAGATGGGTGAAATTGAATTTCTGAGCACTTTAAATTTTATTACTTAATCATCACAAAACTTCATAAGGCAGGGACTATTGTTAATCTGACAGATAGAAAAACAAGGCATGAAAAGGTACCACCCAAATAGGTAGAACTCTAGCTACACCAGGAAGTATAAAGAGCCATTCAGTCATTATGCCAAACTTCCATATCACCATGGGGATGCCTTCCTACAGAGCAGGGTCTTGATGGGCTTAAATGCAATCAAGGACTTAAGCTTCTCAACTATAAAACACTGTGCCTATGATTGTTACCAACCATATTGCCTTTGGCACAAAACAGTTGCTCAGTTTTTCGTGAAATGAAGTGAAGAGGTGGCACCCACCTTAGGTTGGTTGAAGAAGCTAGGACATAAAGCAGTGACCACTCTGAGATTGACAACTCTATTTGTGCACAACAAAGTCTACTCCAAAGTTGATATTTCAACCAGAGGTTGAACAAATTGCCATGGGACTTCACCTTGTTCCTTTAACAGCCATTTATCACATGCTTATCAGTGGTCACACTGACATACTTCAAAAATTAAAGATTGTCATCACCCCCTCCATCCTCACCAATTCCAAGGTTTGTTTGGCTATTAAACAAGGATCATATTTTGCTTCATTTTCTAAAGATGTGTCAATGAGACCACAAGATTAAAAAAATATTAGCTGTACAAGGACATTTACAATAGAAATAAGAAAAAGTATGGTAAACAGCAAGAGGACCCAGGCATGATTTCTTCCCTGCAACAGTCAGAGATAAGACATGAGCATCAATACCTATCATCCAAAATGAAAAATGATAGCAACAACCCCAGGCATTGCTGAGGCACTGACAGGGTACCCAGGAGGCAGATGAGCCCACAGGCTCTGCTCTCCAGTTCTCTTAAGCCAAAAATACTATAGTGGAATGGCGAGGAGATAACGGCACTAAAAACCTTCCATCACATAGCAACTGGGTGGTCTTGGTTAGTCATTTCCCCTCTCTGAATTCCAATTTTCAATGACCACCTCTGTAAAGTAGGTAACAAACCAACAATAAAAGCTTTTATGAGAAGTATAGGAGCTCATGGGGGTAAGGTCATTGGAATGTTGTGTGTCTTTAAAATACTAAGTTCTTTTGCTCCTTGTAGCAAGTGATTCAATGGCTGAAACAAAACTTCATATAAGTCCTCCCTTTCTACCTCCACAATGCCTCTTTTATGGCATTTAGGGGCTGCCTTTAGAGGAAAAAGTGGCAGGACCTCAGGAACATCCAAGTCTAAGCTTAGTCCCTCTTAAAGAGAATAAGCTTTCCATTAGAGAGATAGTACAGAGATTCATGGAATCAAAGCAATATTAGTCCACGACCAAGAATTTAATAGGCAAATAAATCATCAACTCTACTTCTCTTCTCTTCTCCAAATACTTAGGATGCAGGCAGGTTTACATGATTCATATAATCTGCCTTCACCTACTTCTTCAAATTTCTTAATGGAGAAAGGAACCTGTCCCCAAGTCCCCCTTCCCCACTGCCTCTTGCTTTTCTCTCTCATAGTCAATATGGTGCCTACCAGCCACATGTGACTCTTCAGCTCTTGAAATGTGGCAAATCCAAAGTGTCCTGTGCTGTAAGTGTAAGATACTTACTGATTTCTGAAGGCAAAACAGAAAATAATGTAAATGATCTCATTAATAATATTTTTATATTCATAATTTGTTGAGATAGTAATGATTTAGAGATCATGAATCCCATAAAAATACTATTAAACTAAATCAAACCTGATTCATCTTACTTTAAAAAAAGTATTGCAAAACTTACAATTCTATATGTGGCTGGACTTAAGATTTCTAGTGGGCCTCCTTTTCTTCCACTGGAGACCTCAGATCCCACTTCTCACACACTCCCAGGTTTCTGTACCTTTGAGAGAGTCCTTCTTGGCCCTAGCTCCCCCTCTTCATGAATGCTCTTTAAGATTCTGCTCTCAAAATCTTGATTATCCAGAGATTGTCCAAATGGCTTTGACCCCAGCTGGTCTTTAGGAAAAGAGAGTGGCTCTCCCAAAGAGGCTTCTCTTTAAGTGGTTATTATCAGTAGGCAGTTTGGATGGGATCACCCTGTGTCTAATTAACAAAACCCAAGACATTCTCATGCATATCCATGAGGCCATTGAATTCAATCATGTGTAGAGTGATGGGTTCTTGCAGGGCCTGGTGTCAGGGACAAGAAAATTTATGAAGAGAAGAAAGGGCACTTCTGTATATTCAGCTACAAGGAGCTGGAGAGCTTTCAGTTGATTCATGTTAGACCAAGAGCTATAGAATTTGCTTTCAAGAAGGGATGCACGAGAGAATTTAAACTAGCTTTCTGACATACATTGTCCAGATTGTCTTGATTCTTAAATATTTTACAATGATCCTGGAATGTTTGGGAGAAGCATGTAAGCCCCTTCTTGGTATCTGTCAGGTTACCAAAACTACATGCTGCAGTGGATCCTAAGTAGGACTCCCTGATTTTACCATGAGGAAAAAGAGGCACAGATGTGCTAAGCACTTACTAAAGTCATACAGCAAATTGGTAAAAAATGGAACTTGAACCAGTGTGACCATAAATCACCTTCATGCCATGTTCTCATTTCCCAGACTTGGTTATTTCCAGAATAAGAGGCTTTGAGGTTTTGGATTTCTTGAGTGGCACCTCATTTCCCATCTCTTTCTCTCTTTCTCTCTTTCTCTCTCTCTCTTTCTTTCTTTCTTTCTTTCTTTCTTTCTTTCTTTCTTTCTTTCTTTCTTTCTTTCTTTCTTCTTCATTTTTGTATCTTAGTGACTCCTTTGCTGTCCTTCAGACTTTTCCTGTCATTTTCATTTACTATCTCTGTTCTTCTCTCTCTTTCTCTCTGTTTCTGTCTCCTTTTTCCTTTTCTTTATATTTCTTTCTGTGTTTCTCCATGCCTGCCTCTCTCTTTTTTAAAAAAATTAATTTTATTGGTACATTTTAGGTACACAATGTAATGACATTTATCATTGGAAATTTATACCTTTGCATAATCTCTCTTGGTTCTTATATTTTCCCCATTCCCATGCCCTCCCTTCAACCCCTCCACCCCTTCCTATTTACAAAGATTTTATTTCCATTTTTTTCATTTTGTCATATTAGTTCCATTCCCTTCTTTCCTTTACCCATTTCCCCTTCCCCTTTGGACCTTATCTTCCTATTTCACAATATCAATTATGCCTTTTGATCCTTATTTACACGTTCAGTTTCTCACACGAGAGAAACTATTTGGTATTTACATATGTGTACTATTTATTTCACTTAAGAGTATTGACTCAATGTGCATCCATTTAGCTATAAATGTCTCTAATTTCTCATTCTTTATGGCTGAGTAGTACTCCATTATATAAAAAAGATATTTTTCTTTATCCAGTCTCTAGATGATGGGCAATTGGGTTGTTTCTAAGTTTTAGCTATTACAAACTGTGTTGCTATGAACATGGGTGCATACACATATCACTGTGGTATGATTCTTTTAATTCTTTTGGGAAGAAATGGCTAAGAAAATAGCTGGGTCAAGTAGGACCTCTAATCCTAATTATTTGAGGTATCTTCATGACAATTTCCACAGTGGTTGCACCGGTCTACACTCCCACTGACAATGGAGCAGGGTTCCTTTCTCCCCACAGCCCTGCCAGCATTTGTTATTGGTTGATTTCATGATAGCAGCCATTCTTTCTGGGGTGAGGTGGAATC